CCGTTAATCAAATTTGGCTTCCTTCATTGACTTTGCTTGTCAGAAAGTCACAAAAGGTCATCCCATTATCCTGGGACACTGCAACCACCATTAATACATGCCAGTTGCATCTGAATTTTGATCACATGACCATGGAGATGCTGCAACGGTCATAAGAGTGAACATTGGTCCTAAGTCACTTTTTTCAATGCAGTTGTAACTTTACCCATAAACAAATGGTTGTAAGTCAAGGACTACCTGTAAACCCCGCTTTCCCTCAAGCAATATTCAGCATTGTGTCCAAATCAACCCCGTGATAGACAGAGCGTTGTGTTGCAAACCCTGCCTGTGCCTCAGTGACTGGTCTTGCCTCACACCACTCTGATCACCATCTTGCTGACTGACACACAGCTTCAGCGTGCAAGAGGGGAAGGTTGTTTTTGTGTGCTGCTTTCCCTGTTCAAGTCTTGCAAGCTGGGCCTTACGTGGGTGACTCCCTACCCACAGCCTGAGAAGACCCAATTCCTTCTTTTCCACAAGATTCTATCCCATTTATTTATTTATCGAATTTATGTAGCCGCCCATCTCACCAAAGGCAACTCCGCGAGCCACAGTACACAACAGAAACCAAAAAGTATAACACCCCCCCCCCAGCAAATTCAAATATAAGAACCATCATAATAAATATCCTAAAAGCCCCAAATAGAACCATAAATGGAGGGAGAATAAAATGGATCCCTCAGCAATGGAGTTACCAAGAGCAAATCTCTCAGTTGTTCATGTTATCATTCCTAATTATCCCTGGATTAGATCCAAGAGGAAGTAAACATTGCTTGCTTAAAATCTATGCCAGTGTTGCTCAACGTTGGCAACCTTAAGATACATGGACTTCAACTCCCAGAAGTCCCCAGCCAGCATAGAATTCTGGGAGTTGAAGTCCCTGTATCTTGCCATTGCCAATGTTGAGCATCACTAATCTATGCATTCCCACACCAGTATAAGAAGTTCCTGCCCTAGAAGGCACCATACTCCCCCGTTCATTCCAAATAATTTCCTTCAAGGTAGAGGTGGGTGGGCCAAACCCACAGTAGCCCTCAATATATTTTGCACCTTTTTAAAGTTTGCTTGACGTTCTTCCGAAGGAAGCCAACTGAATAACCTCTCTTGCATCCTTGTCTCTTTCAGCGATCTGTGCATGGAATGTGCCTTGCAACTAGAAACCTGCCCTTTGTGTCGGCAAGAAATTCAGACCCGCGTCCGACAGATTGCTCACATTTCATGACACGGGGAGAACGGTCTCTTGTGTAGATTTGCCTCCGGTCCATTCCTTCCAGCGCCAGAAAAAAGGCAGCTCAAAACAAGCTCCATCTCGTCCACCCCACCCCACCCCCGGGCCGAAGCCCAGCCTCATACCCATAAGGGCCACAGATGGGAAGCCTGTTGAATTGCTGCACCGTCTCATCCTCGCCAGATGCTTTCTTTTAGCGGTCATGAAAGTTGGTGGTGAAAGCTGATTTACCGTTTAATTTATCCCTCATTCAAGACTGTTAGGAAAGCCTTCTTCATTCCTTTCTTTTTTGCCTTCCCTTCTCAACTCCTTCCACTCACACACTGAAGACTTTTGCACTGGAAACGTTTAATGCATAATCTCCTAAAACGGGGACGTAGCTGTTTCCCAAAGCCTTTGTTTTTGGCAGCCATTATGCATTATTTTTTTATTACTTTGTCACTGTAGCTTCCTGCTGGTCAGAGTACACCCCTATATATATATATATTTTGGACTGTTAGCATGGAAATGTTAAAGAGACTTGAAATCTACATGAAGAAACTGATTTCTGAGGAAAATTGGTTATTTTCATTCATAGTATTTCTAATTCCTTCAGTTTCAGTACCTACAATTTTGTGAAAAAGAAAAAAACTAATTTTCAGGAGGAATTCTTGTAAATGCAGCAAGAGACTGGAGATAGTTTGATATTCTAGGCATTTTTAAGGTACCATTGATCATTGCTTTTTTAAAAAAACAATCTGTTCTTGCAAGTTCTGTACATTTTGAAAATAGTGAGCTATGGATCTTAAGATCCGGGAAGAATGTGTTAATATTGTTTTGAAGAAATACATGTTTGAATAGCAAATAGCTTGATTGGGTTAACTCCTGTTTAAGACGATTCCAACTATTTTTTATGTTATGGTGTTTGGCTCACGGGACTCCTGTAAAACAGCTGCCTCAATCTTGCTCTGAGTTCCCCGTGGATTTCTGAAGAAGCAGACGTTGTAAGATAATTCAAAGCCATATCGAACTGTTCATCCTGAGATAGGAAATAAGCTGTGCTAGACCTTAAGAAGAGAGAAGCGGGGAGGCGGGAATCCCAACTTCACAATTAATGGACTCCTTCCTTAAGATGCTTGTCGTCTTAACGATACACATGAGCTTTTTCCGACAAGAACAGAATAAAACGTTAGAAAAAGTACTCAGGAACGACTGAGTAAAAGAAATTGTGTAATCCTCTTCAAATTTATGGCATTGCCACACTTAATGCTAGCACATTTATCTTTTGCAGAGTCAGGGAAATGCAGCTCTCACTGGAATACAAGTTGCACCACAAAACCAGTCCCATAAAAAAAAAAAATTAAAAGTGGATGGGGACTAGGGAGTAATTGTTAATATTTAACACATGCCGAGCGTTTAGCAGCTCCCTGCCTCAAAATGGATTCCCAGTAGTATGTATGCCAGGAACCTTTTATAAAAAAATTCTCAGGTACAGATTTATATTGCTAAGTGAGAAATGCGCTAAGTGGAACTTTAACTTTTCTTGCCACGGTCGTTAAATGAACCACTGCAGTTAAAGTAGCAACGTGGCTGTTAATTGAATCCGGCTTCCCCCATGGACTTCGCTTGTCAGAAGGTCGCAAAAGGGAATCATGTGACACTGCGACTGTCATAAATATGAACCAGTTGTCAAGCATCCAAATGCAAATCACTTGACCCTGGGGATGCTACAACGGTAAAAATGGTACTTTTTTTCACTGCCGTTGTTACTTTGAACAGTCAGTAAACGAACTGTTAAAAGCCGAGGACCACCTGTATTGCCGATCTCTTATTGGAGGGCTGTGTAGGTTAAAATAAACCAGTACCATCCTGGTGTCCAACAACAGTGATTGTCAAGCCAAACCCAAGCCAGCGTGCGGATGTATTTATTGTATCCGATAGCTGCCTTGCAACCCCATCCTTAATGTGGAAACTACTTTCTCCAACACTTCCCTTGGGGATTAAGTCTATTTTTATTGTTGGCTGAAGTTTTCCTTCTTGCAACATAGAAGACTCCCTAGATCAGGGTTTCCCAACCCTTAGCAACATTCAGAGGTGGTGGATTTCATTCTCCCAGCATGGCTGGCTGGGGCATTCTAGGAGTTGAAGTCGTCACGTCTTAAAAGTTGCCAAGGTTGGAAACCCTGCTCTAGATATTAAGCCTGTGCTGTAGTTCAATATATGGCTTTGATCCGTACAGGTAGTTCTTGACTTAAAACTTCGTTTTAGTGAGTGCACTGAAAAAAAATGTGACATGGCCATTTTTCACACTTGACCATTACAGCATCCATAGGGTCACATGATCAGAGTTTGGATACTTGGCAACTGGCACGTATTTATGATAGTTGCAGTGCCCAATGTCAAAAACGATGGTAAAGTTGGGTGCAACTTAACAACTGCCTTGCTGAGCAATGGAAATTCCGGCCCCAATTGTAAGTCAAGAACTAAACCAGCACAATTCCTCAAGCTGTTAATGAACAGTGGAAGCTGGTTAATGTGCAAACTAAAATTGTTTCCGGAACAATTGCTTTGTTAGATTGCTCGCCCCAGAATATCTGCACCTGCCTTGTTCTGCGCTCAGTCAGCATTTGTCCTCCATATAATAAGTGATTTGACCTAGATAGCTACATGGGTGAGGTGTGTCTACCAAACTCAGAGCTGGTTACCATAAATAAGAAAGATAAGTATAAATTTCAAAACAAATAATCTTTAGCAGTAGTTTAAATGCTAAATGTTCTTTTAAAAAATCATTAACTTGACTAACAGAGTTGGAAGGGACCTTGTAGGTTATCTAGTCTAACCCCCCCCTCCGCCCAAGCAGGAGACCCTACACCATTTCTGACAGAGGGCAGTCCAATCTCTTCTTGAAAGCCTACAGGGATGAAGGTCCCACAACTTCCGAAGGCAACTTCTCGTTCCATGGGTTGATTGCTCTCCGTCAGAAAAATTCCTCCTTATTTCCAGGTTGAATCTCTCCTTGGTCAGTTCATCCATTATTCCTTGTCTGGCCTTCGGGTGCCTTGGAAAATAGCTTGACCCCCTCCTCTCTGTGGCAGCCCCTGAGATATTGGAACATTGCTATCATGCTATCATTAGAGCAAGGTTCAAAAATTTTAACACATGCTGTAGAAAAGAGGCAAAACGAAGCAGATTGCTGCCAATAGCCAAAACAAGCAAATGGATGGAAACTCATCAAAGGAAAGAAGCGACCTGGAACTAAGGGGAAACTTCCTAACAGGGAGGACAATTAACCGGTGGAACAGCTTTGCCTTCAGAAGTCGTGAATGCTCCATCAGTGGATGCTTTTTAAGAAGAGACTGGACGGTCACTTATCTGAAATAGTAGAGGTTCTCCTGCTTGATCAGGGAGCTGGACGAGAAGACCTCCAAGGTCCCTTCCAGCTCTACTCTGAGTGATCACTTTAATTCGTTTCCTTCCTTTGGATTCAGACCTTAATAAAAGGGGTGGCGTCTATCCCAAGATGCGAGTCCATTTGATTAGCACACACAAAGCTGCAAATATTTACACAACCTAAGGAAGCGCGCGCATTTTCACGCCTCGCGGAGCGCTACTGCCACCCCACCTTTGCAAGGGTGTGAGAAGCGAGAAGCTCCGCCCCCTCGGCTTCTGACTGGCCTTTCCTTGGTGACCAGGAAGCCCCTCCCCTTCCCCCGCTCCCTTCCTCCCAATTGGCTCCTTGCACAAGCTTGCGTTACCGGAAGCGGCCGTTGCCCGGACGACGGGTGGAAGAGTGAGAAGCCGCGGCCCTTTTAACGGACTTCGATGGCGGCGCCGCCGCGGCCTTGGCTTCTGCTTTGATCCCGGTGAGTAGCGCGGAGAACCGGGCAGAGAGGACCTCTTCCCTCCCTCCGTCGGTTTTGAAGATGGGAGGGGAGAGGGCCTTGGCCGCCCCGCCCGCCGCGTGTGGCCGCAGGTAGACTGCGCTTGGAGCGGGAGGCTCCATCTCCCGAGTCAAGAGGGGCGCGCTTCGGCGGGAAAGAGCCGCTGCAGCCCCGATTGGGGGGGGGCTGCCCCCCCCCCCCCCTTTCAGTGAAATCGGCTTAAATCTCTGGGCGGCCTAAATTAAAATATATTTCAATTTATTGGGGCCCCAAAAGCCCTGAGGGTTGGTTTGTTCTGGCAGTTTTTCCATTAATTGAGCAGCGTTTCAAAGCTGCCCCGGGCCTCAAGCGCTTATTTACTTAGGTTTGTTTATTTAATCCTGTAGCGGCCTTTCAAAGGCCTGGAGGCCTTATTTATTCTGGTTTATTTCAATTGATTGCATTTCATTGATTCAGCAGCATTTCGAGGGCGGCCCCCGGGGCCTGAAGAAGCTCCCTGTTTAATTTATAATATCCCCTATTTGATTTAGCAGCATTTCAAAGCCTCTCCAAGCCCAAAGGAAAGAGTTATTTAATCCTAACTTAATTAGATGAATTGATTGAGCAGCATTGCAAAGCCGCCCCAGCCGAAAGGACTCTATTAAGGTTGACTTTTGCAGCCTTCCTGACATTTGCCTTTATGGCTCTTCCTCTGCTGATAAAAAAGCCCACCAATAATATAAACGTTGATACTGGATCCCTGTTGGGTCAGTTTGGATGACCTCCAAATGGGTGCACTTCATCTCCCAGAATTCCCCATGCTCATTGCTCACATTGGTGGTATGCTGCCTTTGGTGAGATGGACAGCTATATAAATATATTTGATAAATAAATTCTGGAGCCTCTTGCATTGCTCAGCCTAATGTCACCCCTCTCATTCATGTCTATGGCAATACCGTAAAAGGTTTCCAAAGGAACAAAATTAACTTCCTGAAAAATTAAATAAGAGGAGCAGTTCCGAACTGTGTAAATATAGGTAGTTTTTGACTTACGACTTTTTAAATGCTTTAACAAAGAGGAGGGGGTCCACTTATTTTCCAAGGCACTTGAAAGCAGGACAAGAAACAATGGATGGAAACTAATCGAGGAGAGAAGCAACCTGAAATTAAGGAGAAACTTCTAACAGTGAGAACAATTAACCAGGGGAACAAATTGCCTTCAGAAGTTGTGGGTGCTCCATCACTGGAGATTTTTAAGAAGTGACTGGGCAACCATTTGTCTCAAATGGTATAGGGCAGGGGTGTCAAACTCAAGGCCTGGGGGCCAGATCCGGCCCGTGGGGTGATTAGATCTGGCCCAAAGGGCCACCCTGGAAACGGCAAAAGACTGACCTGCGGTGCCTCTGCCAGCCAAAACAGAACTCGGGTGGGCTGCCCACAGCCCTCTTGACCTCTGTTTTCTCTGGCAAAAGGTTACTTACAGGAGGCCGTTGCAGCCGAAAACAGAGCTCAGTTTTCTCTGGCAGAGGGTTCAGGCCACCACAGGCACTCCTGACACGAGTGATGTCGAGCTGACCACGCCCACTCTGGCCACGCCCACTCTGGCCCTTAGAGATAAAATACAACCCTGATGCGGCCTTCAATGAAATCGAGTTTGACACCCCTGGTATAGGGTCTCCTGCTTGAGCAGGAGGCTGGACTAGAAGATCTCCAAGGTCCCTTCCAGCTCTAGTCTGATTACCAACCAGAAATATTTGATTTGATTTTAATGAAAAGGAGGACAAGGGTGACATGATGGCAGTGTTCCAGTATTTGCTGGCTGGAGAATTCTGGGAGTTGAAGTCCACACGTCTTAAAGTTGCCAAGTTTGGGGACCCCTAATTAAGATGAAGACTTCCTGATGACAAAATGGCAAGCTATTTTCATTTAGAAGAGGCATCCCCAACTGGCTGTTGCAAAGAATCCCAATCCTGGGAATTTTAAGTCCACTCCTATGAGGAATATTCATATCAGGGGTGTCTGGGATGTGCCCTGGGTTCTGAAAACCAGTCAACCATATTCAAATCTTTCCTTCATACCCACAGGTAGCAAAACAAGAATGGAGACTTTAGAAGAAGAAAATTTCGGGGTATCCATGTAAGTCTATTTGTACTTCTGCAAGGCATGCAACTTCATTGGGAACATAAAGACACCAACATGTTGGAGGATTGGGAGCGGTAACTCATCTTTGTGATCTTCTATAGGGCCCTGAGAGGATGGGATGAAAATTCTGGTTCTTTTGGGGGAGTGGTTAAGGGTACAAGAGGGAAAGGGGAGACTCTGGGAAACTGGAACAACCAATTGTGGCAAATTTTGGAGTGAAACAGAAGGTTTCCCAAGATATTTCGCTGGCAAGAGGGCAGGGAACAGCAACAAAAACGATAAAGGTTCTAGAGGCAAAATCATATGAATGGTTGAGGGAGCTGAGTATGTCTTACCTAACAAAGACAGGACATAACTCTCTTCCAGTACTCGAGGGGCTATCCCAAAGCGGAGAAGATTGACTTACTGTCTACTCTAAGACACCGTAGGGCAGGACAAGGAGTAACAAGAGGATCATTAAAGAGAGATCCGACCTAGAAATAAGGAGACATCTCTTGAGAGTGAGAACGGTTAATCAGTGGAATGGCTTCCCTCCAGAAGTTGTGGGTGCTCCCATCACTGGAGGGTTTTAAGAAGAGACTGGACGGCCATTTGTCCGAAATGGTATGGGGATCATCTGTTCACTCAAGGGGTTAAGACTGGAAGGCCACCCAGGTCCCTTCCAACCCTGTTATTCTATGTCCTTCAATTCCTGCCAAATATTAATAAAAATCCTTGAAAGGCCACAAAACGATAGACTTCTAATAGAAGCCTGCGTTAGTTAATGTAATTCTTAATAAATTCAGTGCCAGCCCATTTTACATGATGTGCATTTTGCCTTTCCTGGTTACTGAAATCTAAACCATTCATCTCTTTATTTCAGCTCATCACCCTCTGATGCTGAATTCGATGCTATTGTAGGCTATTTGGAAGATATCGTAATGGGTGAGTTCTGCTTTAATAGTTAACACTGCCCCTCAAAGGCCTCCCTCAGTACTCCAGCCTCACTGGTTGTATTTGATTGATAGGCCTAAAAATATACAGCTCAAAAGTATAAAGGGAACATTTAAACAACACAATGTAACTCCAGGTCAATCACACTTCTGTGAAATCAAATTGTCCACTTAGGCAGCAACACCGATTGACAATCAATTTCACATGCTGTTGTGCAAATGGAATAGACAACAGATGGAAAGCAGAGGCAGTTAGCAAGACATCCCCAGTAAAGGAGTGGTTCTGCAGGTGGTGACCACAGACCACTTCTCAGTTCCTATGCTTTCTGGCTGATGGTTTGGTCATTTTTGAATGTTGGCGGTGCTTTCACTCTAGTGGTAGCATGAGACGGAGTCTACAACCCACACAAGGGGCTCAGGTAGTGCAGCTCATCCAGGATGGCACATCAATGCAAGCTGTGGCAAGAAGGTTTGCTGTGTCTGTCAGTGTAGTGTCCAGAGCATGAAGGTGCTACCAGGAGACAGGCCAGTACATCAGGAGACGTGGAGGAGGCCGTAGGAGGGCAACAACCCAGCATCAGGACTGCCACCTCCGCCTTTGTGCAAGGAGGGACAGGAGGAACACTGCCAGAGCCCTGCAAAATGACCTCCAGCGGGCCACAAATGTGCATGTGGCTGCTCAAACGGTCAGAAACAGACTCCATGAGGGAAGTATGAGGGCCCAACGTCCACAGGTGGGGGTTGTGTTTACAGCCCAACACTGTGCAGGACGTTTGGCATTTGCCAGAGAAAACCAAGATTGGCAAATTCGCCACTGGTGCCCTGTGCTCTTCACAGATGAAAGCAGGTTCACACTGAGCACATGTGACAGACGTGACAGGGTCTGGAATCACCGTGGAGAACGGTCTGCCTGCCTGCAACATCCTCCAGCATGACTGGTTTGGCAGTGGATCAGTAATGGTGTGGGGTGGCATTTCTTTAGGGGGCCGCACAGCCCTCCATGTGCTCACCAGAGGTAGCCTGACTGCCATTAGGTACCGAGATGAGATCCTCAGACCCCTTGTGAGACCATATGCTGGTGCGGTTGGCCCTGGGTTCCTCCTAATGCACAACAATGCTAGACCTCATGTGGCCGGAGTGTGTCAGCAGTTCCTGCAAGACGAAGGCATTGATGCTACGGACTGGCCCGCCCGTTCCCCAGACCTGAATCCAGTTGAGCACATCTGGGACATTATGTCTCGCTCCATCCACCAACACCACTTTGCACCACAGACTGTCCAGGAGTTGGGGGATGCTTTAGTCCAGGTGTGGGAGGAGATCCCTCAGGAGACCATCCGCCACCTCATCAGGAGCATGCCCAAGCGTTGTAGGGAGGTCATACAGGCACATGGAGGCCACACACACTACTGAGCCTCATTTTGACTTATTTTAAGGACATTACATCAAAGTTGGGATCAGCCTGTAGTGTTTTTTTCCACTTTAATTTTGAGTGTAACTCCAAATCCAGACCTCCATGGGTTGCTCAATTTGATTTCCATTGATAATTTTTGTATGATTTTGTTGTCAGCACACTCAACTATGTAATGAACAAAGTATTTCATAAGAATATTTCATTCAGATCTAGGATGTCTTATTTTTGTGTTCCCTTTGTTTATTTTTTTGAGCAGTGTATATTTTCCTAATCTCACAGTCATGAATGTAGTCTGTCCAGTTCACCAGGAAGACAGCATGAGGAGGAGGCAGCCAAGTCGAACATGGGTATGCTCTTCATACCAAGCAGTTATCATGCTCGAGCGATGTTGCTCTAGCAGATACGCCAAGGCAGGCTATTTTCTGCATAAGATGTCACCTTGCCCTAATTTGAGCATGACTAGCTTTGAGAAGACCTGACTTCTCTCACAAGGTTTTCTCCTGAGTAGTCCCAAGTTTCTAAGGATAATTCTTTCTGTGCCTCACTTTTGACTCTTCTACCCTCAGCTCCTTCTGAGGATAGTGGTCATCTGTTTTTGACTTGGTTTATAAATATTGCTTCTGCTCTGGGATCAGAAGCTTCTGCTGAATCCATGACTTTTGCCAGAATGGCGAGAGGATGTCCAGGGTCATTTGCCTCCTTCTGGCCCTGCTCTTCACCTGAGGAAGACACTTGAAGCAGAACCCTGATCATTGCTAGATGGCTGGTTAAATCTCTTAGTTCAAAGTTCATGGAAGATTTTAAACACATCTTCAGTGTTGCTCCTTTTAATGGATGGATTTGATCTGTGTTTTGTCATTGCACACATTGTCTGGAACACAGCTCTTCAAACTACATGCCAAAGCCAATAGGATTCCATGATGATTTGGAATGACCAGACAATCTGCTTAATGTCAATTCGCTCTTTCTGTATCAACCAGCTTGTTAATCACGATGAAGGGAGCACTGTTGTAGGAATAGGTCCTTTCTCCAAAAGATTTTGAGGAGATTTGCTTCCAAGAACTCTGGTCCTACAAGAGCCTTCCTAGCTAGCAAAAAATGGAAGTGGTTGCATAGATGGCGCCCCTCCCCCCAAGTTGCAGCTGTGCTGTTGTCATGCCTGACCCAGAGCACAATGTGCTGGATTGCAAGTTGAGCATAGCAGGCCCAAACAATGGGGTCACTGTCTTTCAGCTCAATAGCCACCCTATTTAGCAGCTGTTTTGTGATTTCAGACGATGACTTCCAGCTTATGCAAAGAAACTTCATGGATAAATACTACAGAGAGTTTGACGACACAGAAGAGAATAAACTGGTCTACACACCTATCTTTAATGAATATGTAAGTTTGTCATGGTCTTTTTGGTCCATACAGATAAGATTTGTTTTCCCCACTTAGAGGTTGAATTGCTGTTTTATAAAGATGCTAAAAACTTGAACTGGGTAAGAATGTGCAGAGAGTCTTCTGACTTCACTCAAATACAGAGAAATGTATAACTTGATAAAACAGAGTTCCCCAATTTTTGGGGGGGCTTTGCGGACCCCAGGAGGGGGAGGAGAGGGGATGGTTCCATGCGGGTGATGGGTGAGTGTGCGTGCAGCTCAGTTTGCGTGAGTGGCAGGCCCACATGCCCGCCACTCACAAATGGAGTGTGCTCACCCATGCTCACTCGTGCAAGTAGGGATATGTGTTCGTTGTCAGCGTTCCAACTTAACAAACTCCAAACCAATAAACTCCGAGACCAGCTTCTTCTCAAAGTTCCAATTTATTAGAGTTGTCATATTGGCACACCTGGGAAAAGCCGAATCTGAGAGTTCCGGGTTTTCCCTTCCCAAAAGAGAAATCCAAGATCCATCCTCTGCACCCATCAGTCCATCACATGGTCCAATCAAATCGTCATCCCAACTGGAGACATCTCTCCAGACACTCTCTCCAGGTGCAGGGCGACATGTCCTTGACTCTTAGAGAAAGAAGCACAACCGAGCACAAAATGCTAAGCGAGACAGCTGTTAAATGAGTTTTGCCCCATTTTACGACCTTCCTTGCAACAGTGGTTTAAGTGAAACTAAGTTAAGTTAGTGACACGGTTGTTAAGTGAACCTGGCTCCCCCATTGACTTTGCTTGTCAGAAGGTCACAAAATGGGATCATGTGACCTGCAACCATCATAAGTATGAGTCAGTTGCCAAGCACCTGAATTTTGAACACGTGACCATGAGGATGCTATAATGGTTATAAGTGTGAAAAATAGTCATAAGTCACTTTTTTAGTGCCGTTGTAACTTTGAACGGTCACTAAATTAACTGTTGTAAGTTGAGGATTACCTGTACAATTAATGTTACGATGTTAAATAAGGAGAAGTTGTTCCTTTTTAAAGAGGAGTAATGCATGGTCTATCTCCAGATCCTATTTAGTTTTTTCCCGGCATGCCATCACTCTGCTAATTCCCACAACACTGTCAAACGATTTACTAAGACTGTATTACTATTCTTCTTCTCATCCTTCCTATTACCTATCTCTACCCACTTATGACCATGTTGCTTGGTCTTTACAATTTATGTTGTTTTACTTGTTTCCTAGTACGATTTGATTGCTTATTAGTAACCTATGACTATCACTAAGTGTTGTATCTTATGATTCTTGATGAATGTATTTTATTTTTCCTTTATGTACACTGAGAGCATATGCACCAAAGACAAATTCCTTGTGTGTCCCGTCACACTTGGCCAATAAAGAATTCTATTCTATTCTATATTCCTATATTTCTGTATTCTACTCTTCTATTTTCCTATATTTCTGTATTCCTATATTCTACTCTCTTCTCTTCTCTTCTCTTCTCTTCTCTTCTCTTCTCTTCTCTTCTCTTCTCTTCTCTTCTCTTCTCTTCTCTTCTCTTCCACTCCACTCCACTCCACTCCACTCCACTCCACCCCACTCCTGTATTGTATTGCATTGCGTTGCATTGCATTGCATCTTCATCCCATCCCATCCTATTCTATTCTATTTTCCTATTGTCCTATATTCCTATATTTCTATATTTTTATCCTATCCTCTCCTCTCCTCTCCTCTCCTCTCCTCTCCTCTCCTCTCCTCACATGATGTACAGCTATGTATCCTGCTCACAATTGGATTGGCATATAAATTCAAGAAGAAGCAAATAAAAACTTTCTCATTTTAGATCTGCTTAGTTGAAAAATACATTGAAGCGAAACTCTTGGACCGGATTCCTGGTTTCAACATGTCTGCCTTCACCTTGTCTTTACAGTAAGTTGAGTTTCTGTCTTCTTTTTGGCCTTTCAAGCTGGTGGGGTTCTTTCTGTTCTGAAGTCTTCCTCTGTTTTTCCTCTGTACAAGTAGTCCTCAACTTATCAGCACAGTTGAGCCCAAAATTTATGATGCTAAATGAGAAATTTGTAAAGCGAGTGTTGCCCATTTTTATGGCTTTTCTTGCCACTGTTGTTAAGTGAATCACTGCAGTTTGTTAAATTAGTAACACTGTTTTTAAGTGATTATGGCTTCCCCATCGACTTTGCTTGCCAGAATATCACAAAAAAGGTGATCGCACATGGCCCTGGTACACGGCCACCATCACAAATGTGAGTCAGTTGCCAAGCACCCAGATGCAAATCACGCGACCATGGGGATGCTGCAACCTTCATAAGAGTGAAAAATCATTTTTTTTCCAGTGCTGTTGTACCTTTAAAACAGTCACTAAGTGAACTGTTGTAAGCCGAGGACTCCCAGTAATTCTCTCCCCTTTTGAATCTTGGGCAAGTGAGCTGCTGCCACTGGGTTTCATGGCACATGGACCTGGGTATATTCTTGGGGTACCACCATATATATATACTATCTCCCCCCCCCCCATATGGGTACCCAGTGAAATAATAGCAAGACAAACCCTGACATCTGTTACAGACAACAGGGACAAATGGATTAGAGGTAGTTCTCAACTTGCAACTGTTTGCTTCATGACAATTCAGAAAGTACAGCGACACTGAAAAAAGTGACCTATGACTGTTTTTCACACTTACAACCGTTGCAACATCCCCGTGTCATATTATCAAAATTCGGACACTTGGCAACTGGCGTGTATTTATGAGAGCTGCAGGGTCCCTGGGTCATGTGATCCCCTTTTGCAACCCTCCAACAAGCAGTGTCAATACGGAAACCAGATTCATTTAACAACTGTGGCAAAAAAGGTCGGAAAATGGGGCAAAACTCACTTAACGACTGTCTTGCTTAGCAATGGAAATTTCCGGCTCAGTCCAGAGGTGGCATTTAGCAGGTTCCGACCTGGAGAACCAATAGCAGAAATTTTGAGTAGTTTAGAGAACCAGCAAATCCCACCTCTGACTGGCCCCGCCAACCCCATCTCTCTTCTCTGCCTCCCATTGAGTCCCAGCTGATTGGCTGGGTCTTCTTTGGTTGCCCTGCACAGGAGAACGGAGCTGGAAAGCAGGTTAGTGGGGTGGGGAGGGAAGGGGGATTTTGCAGTATATCCTTCCTCTGCCACGCCCACCAAGCCACGCCTACAGAACCAGTAGTAAAAAAATTTGAATCCCACCATGGCTCAGTCGTGGCCTAAGTCGAGGGCTATCTATATTAGACACTCTTGTCTTTGTGCCCCCTAGAACAGTGGTCCCCAACCTTTTATGTGCCACGGCCCGGTACCGGCATCACAAAATGATCCGCGGCCCAGTACCGGCATCAGCACGCATGACAAGGCAAGGCGAGCCGAGCGACCGGCCAGCCAGCCGTGCCCCGCTTCTCCCCGCCACCTTCAACTCCTCCTTTGTACCTTTGTCGATGGGCTTCGCTTCGGGACGGTCGCCCGGCTCGGCTCGCCTTGCCTTGGGTGCTGAAAGAATCCTCGCGCCTTAGTTTCGTTCAAAGCCCCCCCCCCTTCGATGAAGCTAAGGCGCGAGGATTCCTTCAGGACCCAAACGCCGCTTTCCAACCGGAAAAGCTCACCCGGAAGCACTTTCTTGTCAAACAAGATGGCGGCGCCCAGCAGACCGGCGGCCTGGTAGGAAATGTTCCATGGACCAGTACCAGTCCGGGGCCTGGTGGTTGGGGACCCCTGCCCTAGAAGAAGGATCCCCAACCCCTGGGCCACCAGTGAGCCCCGAAATGTTGGCATGGCAAAAGGTTTGCCGCGGAAACAGAAATGAATGGAGCACCTCTAGCTGCCGCAAATTCTCCCCACCCGCCGATGTGCAACTTCTTGTCTCCCCAATGCTTCCACCATTGTTTTGCTGTTAGCTCTGGCAAGTAACTACAGGATGACGTTCTAGGGGAGGATTCCCCTTTCTGGCTGTGTGGACCGGCGGAGGGAGAACGGTTCCACGTGAGTGGCCATCAAGGGCACGCATTCAGCCCCGTTTGCACGAGCGACATGCCTATGCACTCCATTTGCGGGAGCCATGGTCGCACGTGTGTGTGCCGCTCCACAAATGGAGCTGCCATGCGTGCGTTTGTCAGCCACTCGCGTGGACCTGTCCCATCTCCACCAGTCCACAAAGCCGGGAACTTCGTCCTGTGGTCACTTCCCGGATCTAACAGCAAAGCAATGGTAAGAGTCTTTTGGAGAGGAGAAGCTGCAAGTCGTTGGGTGGGAGAATTTGCAGCAGCTAGAGACTCTCAAATCATTTCTTAGAGCGTCCCCCAGACCCTTAGCAGGTGGCACCTGGCAGCAGGCTGGGGGCCTAATCCTTCCCTCTTAATGGGGGATTGCGTTTCCTAAGCCCCATATGGAGTGGGGGATTGCCTGCCCAAGGAGGTCTGCCTACCTACTACAACTTCAGAGAGTCTCCAACGAACAAGAGATGCATGAAGGGATCAGCCAAAGCGGTAATTTCTAAATTCACAACTCAGGATTGCTTGGCACTGAACACAGTAATGAAAGAACCAATCTCAAGACAGAATCCTTGAGCGGGAGTTTCATTTAACACTGAGATTTGAACTTAATGCAATTTGTTGGGTGGCTTTGGTGTTAAATTCTCCCTTGGAGAAGCGTGAAGAAAATGGGGCAGCCCTTCCTCCAATGACGGCTGCTAGTCATCCCTCTTTAAATTAGATCAAAGCTAATGTCAGGGTTTTCATTTTGATTTATGAAATTCCTTCTATTTGCCTTATTTGTTGGTTTATTTGCTTTTTTGTAGGTGTGGCCTTTTTCCTTGTCGTCTTAATTCTTCATTGTAGTAATGATGTAATACTTATGGTATAGTAATTCTTCAGGGATTATTGGAAATATTCTAAGTAACCCTGTCATTTTCTGCACAATCACATTTATGGAAGGGGCAACAGGCAGTCAATGCTTAAGAGCCTCCTGCTTTGCGACCATTCGGGGTTACAGTGATGCTGAAAAAATAACTATGAACGGTCCTCACACTTATGACCATTGCAACATCCTGCAGGCATGTGATCACCATTTGAGGGCTTCATAACTGGCTTCTGATGAGAAGAGCAAGTGGAGAGGCTGGCAGTGAAACTGCAAGTCATGGCCACGCGACGTTTCACTTAATGACCATGGCACTCATCAACCAAGTTGCCAGTCCCAGCTGTTGTCTTTAAGCAAGGACTACCTCTAGTGTTTTCTTCTTCACTTCTCCAGAACAGATTTTGTAATCCTTTACAGTCTCAAATACCTTTTCCACATTAATTACCTATCCAAATCTCTCACTTGCAGGCAGCACAAGGATGAAATAGCTGGAGATATTTTTGATATGCTTCTCACGTTCACTGACTTTCTGGCATTTAAAGAGATGTTCCTGGATTATAGAGCTGTAAGTATTTCAAAACTGAGCTGAGCTGAACACCAGTATGCTGGTCCCTCTGACCTGGAGTCATGTTTTCCCATTAACAGTGGTTCTCCGGGGTCATGGGAAGAGAAGTGCCTCAGATAGAAAGTCCCTACAGAGAGTGGTAAGGACAACCGAGAAGATTATAGGAAGCTCACTTCCCATTATTCAGGATACTGCTTATAAGCACTATGTGCTTAAAGCTCAAAGCATTGTTAGAGACCCCACACACCCACTTCACGGTCTCTGTTTCTGTTGCTCCCCTCTGGGAGGAGGTTATGAAGCACTGCCAGATTCTGTAACAGCTTTGTTCCCTAGGCCATCCCCCTGGCAAACTTGCAAGATTAGTTTTTTCTCACCATGTACATGTTTACATCTGAACGGGGCTGTGGCATTTGGGTCATAGGATATATGTGGGTACGTGCATAATTTTGTATTTGTTTCTTTGTTCTGTCGTGGTTATGTAGTGTATATTGGAAGTGGTGACCCTTTGAGAGCTGTATGCCATGAAGTTTCATTTTAATGTATGCCTATTAGTGTACATTCAAAGTGACAATAAAGCCATTATTCTATTCTATAAGAAAGAGCAGGTAGCTGTGCAGGGGACCAGCGATCCCTTAGAACCCTCTCTGAGCTTTCCCTCCCTGCAGCGTCCCACCGCTAAAACCCTTGCTTTCCATGGTTGTTAAAATATTCTACCTTTTTTCAAGAGGGGTTAGATGGCATTGGGATATCTGCTCCAGAGCCCGGGACAAAATAAAAGCCCAGTGTTTGTAAATGGCCTTCCCTTTTTTTCATCTACCTGTCTCTTCTTTACAAATGCCCCCGAACTGAAGTGTGTTTTTGGGTCTCGCTCTAGGAGAAAGAAGGACGGGGCCTGGACCTCAGTGCCGGGTTGGTGGTCACCCCTTTAAGCAAGCCCTCCAGGTCACCCGCCCAGAACAGCCTCTGGCATTAGGGTGTGTGCTCCAGAGGAGGCCTGCTGGGGTGCCTCCAACACGAAAGAGAGGAATGAAGGAATTTCAGCGGGCTTGGTCTTCTCTTCGGCTCCTTCTATGGATGGTTCCATCACCGCCGCCATCATCGTCTCTCCATCAGAGCACCGGGACTCTTGCGGTTCCCACCCAACCAGATTTTACATTGCGGAGATCAATGTGCAATCGTTTCTCTGAGGATATCCTAAGCTCTTTTCTTTTTTTTTTTGGGTGGGACAATGGACATGGAGGACTAGTTTTGGGTGTGAGGGGGCCGTGCTTGTGAAACTCTGCCCCGAGTTCACAAGCACAGGACCTCTGGCAAATTGTCTTTGTTGTCTGGGACTGAGAATGAAACATGTTGACTTAACAGGTAATACGCATTTGGGTGCTTTATGTCGGTGTTCGATGCAAATGTGTATTTTTTTTTTTTTTGTATATATAGCATGAAAATGTTTTCTAACTGATGGTGAACTTGAGTCCTTCTCCAGTCAACAGACTTTTTTCTCTCCACTTTGGAGGGCTTTCACCCCTCCATACCTGAGAGGTCATATTTTTAAAATATACATGTCATCCTTTCTAGGAAAACTACCACGCAGTATCCACACTACGATCTGTAAGCTCGTAATAGAAGGATACAGCCATGTCCTGCAATGACCCTGTAGCTCTTGTGACTTCCCACGAGGTATTTTGAGAACATTTCTGGTTCCTTCAGTCACATTCTTGTTCATCAAGTCTTGCTGCCCTCCATATTGAGCCAAATCAAGTGCCAGTGATGTGAATTGCCCACTCACAGCTAGCTCCTTGTCTTTGACCCTTGAATAAGTTTGCCTTCCACCGGCTGGGAAGAACGGAGCAGTTGTAGCCATCTTGAGTGCCATCCAGGAAGACCAGCCATAGTTAGTAGGCAGCTGTTCTTGACGTTCTCACTTGGTAGGAGCCCGAGTATGTTCCCCTGTGGCTCCTTGATGGGGGCTGAAAAATGTTTTCTAGGTGCCCCTTGGGTAAGGGAGATCCTCTTCAGTACAGAATCAGGAACCCCCTCGCAGACAACGTTTTCAGCCTGGAGGGTAAAGAGAACGTAGTGTTTCTAATAAGCAGTTATAATATTTACACTTGCTGCAGTTGTTTCCCTTGCACATTTCTTTTCTGTAATGTTCTCAGCCTGGAAGTTGGTCTTCAGCAGCATTTTCGAGATCTTTATCCGGAAGCACGTTCAGCTTTGCAAAAGATAATTTATTCTAACTTTCCAGCCAAAAGTATTCGCTGTTTCGGGTTCCTGCTCACAAAATGTAAAGGTATTGAGCATTACCAAAGATTGAATTGTGCAGGTGGTGCATTAAGCAAACAGACCTAGTCAAGCATGCTAGAAATCTTAAATCAGTATTTACCTTGGCACTGTTTTGCTTTTTTCAAAAGTCCAGTCTCTCCGTATTTGGCTAGCTAGGATAAGACTGCAGGATCCTATCCAGAATTTCTCTTTTTCATTTCGCCATGATCGCCAATTTAAATGGGAAGGCGCTAGGTTTCGGTATCCCAGAGGCCAGAGCTGCATCGAAAAGAACAATTAAGGAAAATGTTTGTTTGTCTGTCTTCCTTAGTTGAAATGGCATTTCAGGTGTGTGAGATCAGGGGTCTCCAACCTTGGCAACTTTAAGCCTGGCGGACTTCAACTCCCAGAACGCTCCAGCCAGCTTTGCTTAAAAGTTGCCAAGGCTGGAGACCTTGGATAACAGATGGGCTAGGATAAGGGGGAATTAGAAGTCAACACAGCCAAGGGAGAGTCAGAAAGGCTGAGTTAAGTATGCCGGATTCACAACGCTATAGGCTACCTTTGGGTTTCTGTTTTTTTTAAGATACTCCCTGTAGTACGGAATAGGCTTGGGAGGCCCTTAGAGCATTGCATAGAAAACGTTACAGAGGTAGCATCTAGGAAACCTCCGCCTTCCAGAGTCTCGTGGCGGCAACACCTGTGGTGGTATGTGAACACTGTTCCTGCATTTCCCTTGCTTTGTGCTAGTAATAAAATCCGTGTGCTTGATTTAAAAAAAAAAGATATCTTGTGGCATGTGGCAAATAAATTATTCCGACAGGTTAAAAATGAGCCTCTGTGTGCAGATAAAAAAATGTTGGAGCTTTTTGGAGAGAGAAAAAAAAAAAGATTTTTGAGTCATTTATTCAATGGCTCTTGCCATTTGATACGCCCTTCTCCTCCGTATCCCCTTCCCCAATTTCCTGATCTTAATCAACGAAGCACGTAAGTGTGGGTCTCAGTTTTCATTCTGCTCTGTTCTTTGACTCCGAAGTAGCTCCGAAATAGCCTCGTATTCTGTCAGCTGCTTAAATTGTCCAAGGTGAAGAAAGCGATGGATGGGAATTTATCCAGGAGAGAAGCCATCTGGAGAAACCTCCTCACCGTGAGAACAATTAACCAGGGAAACAAATTCCCTTCAGAAATTTGTGGTCGCTCCATCACCAGAGGTTTTCAAGAAGAGGCCGGACAGCCACTTACCTGAAATAGTGCAGGTTCTCCTGCTTGAGAAGAGGGCTGGACTAGAAGACCTCCAAGGTCCCTTCCAACTCTCTGTTACTCTGTTTCAAAAAGAAGTCAGCCCTGCTGATGGGAGAACACAGCAGGCCTCCAAGGGGTACCGCAACCCCCCTGTTCTCCTTCGTGGCTTGTTTGTTCGGTTTCCACGGCAGAGGGTGGAGGTGGCTGTTGATATTCCCTTCGGATTTGAGGTGGAACTAATGAAGGGAAGAGATGTGGGAGCCAGAGAGCAGGCTCATAATTCAGCTTTCTGTGTAATTTTAAATGTATCCTCCAGCACCCCAGCAGTGCCTGGGAGAAAAAGTCATTTGGCATCCAGATACAAGATTCTTCAGGAAAGCATGAGAAAGTGTAATAAGTAGCTTTAATAGTTAAGATGTCCTGGTATGCTTGAGACTCATTAATTCTTAGTTGCTGAGTCTTCTGAAATTCTACTGGACTTCTGCTGTCCTTCCCTTTTATTTCTACCAGTGGAAAAACTGAAAACGCTGTTCAACAGTCTGAGTAGCCACGGAAGGAAAACAACTAGTACGGCTCTCTCATACTAAGTCATTATTGTTAGATTTGCAGGGTATATTTTACACACTCCTACCTTGGAAGCCCTAGATCAAGGGTGTCCAACCTTGTTGACTTTTAAGACTACGGGGACTTCCAACTCCCAGAATTCCCTAGCCAACACTGGGGAATTCTGGGAGTTGAAGTCTACAAGTCTTAAAAGTTGGCCAAGGTTGGATAACCCTATCTAGGTCATACCCGACGCTATCTAAATCTTTAAAATCGAAGGGAGAGACTTTCCCCGAGGATTCTGCGCGCATCTTTTCCAAGCAAATTATGTTCTGAAGAACCTTCCTTTTTACAAACGAGAACAAGGCAGAGAAGGTCTTTTAAAAATGTATTTAAAACAGGCTTTATTTTTTAGAAATAAAACATTTGTTGGGTGTATACACATTTCTGCTACTATGAAACAAAATGGAATTAATAATTCAACATTAATTTTTCAGTTTAACATTTTTATTGAGTTATAAAATATAAGATACAAAATACCAAAGTAAATGGGAAAACAGTGGGGAGGAAGAAGGGGAAGAGTGAGGAAGAATTTTAAAAAAGAAAGAAAAAGCATTGACTCCCCACTCTCTCTGTTGCAGTAAAATAAGGCAGTAACATCAAATCTCAACTTTTTGCTTTTTCATAATAATATGAACAAGCCATTTCTATACAGTCCACTCGGTAAAACCCCAAATCAATGTTTCATTCTTTTCCACTTCAAGCACGAAGTTCAGAAGCGGTCTCCATGTGGAAACCAAAGTACTTACGTTCTTTCCTTGAATCAAAGTAGTTTTTAACAAAGTAGTAATTAAACGTTATTTACAAGCTTTAGCTGCAAGCAGGTTTCAGTTTGCTTGGTTCCGGTGAGAAACGCTTGGCCATCCCTAGAGACGCGCAATCTCCGGATTGCTTTGCACATCTTTGCTGCGCTCCTCTGCAAACATTCTAGCAGGAGCGTCCGTCCTTGGCAACTTTAAGACCTGTGGACTTCAACTCCCAGAATTCTGTAATGCAAGGGTTGGAGATCTCTGGACTTCCAACTCCTAGAAACTGTGATGCAGGTGTGTCCAGCCTTGGCAGTGTTAAGACTTGTAGACTTTTAATTCCGACAAACTGTAGGGCAGGGATGTCCAATCTTGACAATGTTAAGACTTGTGGAGTTTTCACTCCCAGAATTCCCTAACCAGCTGACTGGGGAAATCTGGGAGTTGAAGTCCACAAGTCTTTAACATTGCCAAGGTTGGACACCGCTACATTACTGTGAGAACAGCCAAGTTAGCTTAAATTAAGACAGCCACGCCTTGCTCTGACACTATCCCAATATTAATAATCCCAATTGTTTAGCCAAGTGACTTTAAAGGCTCTCTTTGTGCCCTTCGGCTCCCCTGTAGTGTTCAGCTAACACTAATGCTCAGCTGCAATGCTCCGCTAACATCATCTTTGACAACGGGAAGAAGGTTGATCACCGTTACTGTCATTTTTTTTTAAACTGGGCCCAGTGGCACGCATTAAAAAATGAAATTCTCTTGCCTGCAGTCAAACGTGTCCACGCACACAGCGCACATATAAGACATGCCATATACACACACATGTATATACCTGCACCCATACATATAAATACATTATAAAGGTTAATCACTGAAAGTCGCATTAGGCACACTGAAAGGTCTAGCTCGGGGGTTAGGGACAAACCAGGAATCATGAAAACCAGCATGAGGCTGCCTATCTCATCCGGGCCTTCGCCACTCTGTCGAGGGTGCCAGTTAAGAGCACGGGAGAGGGAGGTGAGCCCTGTGATCGGAACAGCCCTACTGAAGCCGGGACGGGGCATCGTTTCCAGGCCAGGCCCCGTGTGGAAGAGAAGCGACAGAAGCTGCAAAAGCCACCCGCTTGGCCCCTGTTGATTCAAAAGGAGGCAGAGTTCTTTTAAGCATGATTGGAGATGCTCGCTTGGCTGGTGGCCGCGTTGCTCCCATAACCCCTCCAGGCTCGGATGCTGAGGCAGGAACTGACGCCGTAGCTGATCATCACCAGGCAGGCAAAGAACTGGGAAAGACAAGAGACGTAGGAGTTAAAGCAATGTCAAGTCAAGGGAGGAAGGGGATCAAGCTATTTCCCAAGGCACCCGAAGGCCAGGCAAGGAACAACGGATGGAAACTGAACGAGGAGAGATTCAACCTGGAAATAAGGAGGAATTTTCTGACCGTGAGAACAATCAACCGAAGGAACAGAAGTTGCCTTCAGAAGTTGTGGGGGCTTCATCATTGGAGGCTTTCAAGAAGAGATTGGACTGCCATCTGTCAGGAATGGTGTAGGGTCTCCTGCTTGGGTGGGTGGGGGTTGGACTAGATGGCCTAAAAGGCTCCTTCCAACTCTGTTAATCTGTTAAGATTAGGGACTCGAGACTAAAATATACGATGAACCATGAATGGTTGCAGGAACTGGGCCTGGCTAGTCTAGGGAAGAGAAGGACCAGGGGAGACAGGAGAGCATCTTTCAGTATTTGAGGGGCTGCCACAGAGAGGAAGAAGGGGTCAAACTATTTTCCAAAGCCCCCAAAGGCCAGACAAGGAATAATTGATGGAAACTGAACAAGGAGAGATTCAACCTGGAAATAAGGAGAAATTTTCTGGCAGTGAGAACAATCAACCAAAGGAACAGAAGTTGCCTTCAGAAGTTGTGGGAGCTTCATCACTGGAGGCTTTCAAGAAGAGACTGAATTGACATCTATCAGAAATGGTGTAGTAGGGTCTCCTGCTTGGGTGGAGGGTTGGACTAGATGACCTACAACAGTGATGGCGAACCTTTTTGTTGTGGTGTGCTTGAAAGCACACGTGCGAACGCGTGCCCCCCCCCCCCATGCATATGCACGCGAAATACACCCACCCTGCCCCCTTACCTGCACTGTGCATGCACGTGCCTCCCTGCTGATTTTTGGCCCGTTTGAGGCCATTTTTGTCCTCCCAGAGGCTCAAGGGAAGCCTCTGCAGCCTCCGGTGACTGAAAACGGGCCCATTTCGGCACTTCCGGTATTTCCGGAAGGCCCGTTTTTTAGCCTCCCGAAGCTGCAGAGGCTTCCCTCAATCCTCTGGGAGGGCAAAACCAGCCTCCAATGGCCCCCAAAACCAGTTGGGAGGCATGTGCACATGCAGTGAAAGCAAGTTTGGCTGGGGCTCACGTGCCTGCAGAAATGGCTCTGCGTGCCGTCTGTGGCACGGAGGCCATAGGTTCGCCATCACGGACCTACATGGTACCTTCCAATTCTCTCAATCTCTATCTGTACTCTGGATGTGAAGTATCTATGTAGATTCTCAGTCTTCCAGGTCATTGTTGTCCCAAAGGTGCTTTTCTTTTTTTTCAAGAGGCAATTGGACTTTCTGTTTTTTGTTTTTTTCTTTGAAGATGTGTCACTTCTCCAAGAAGCTTCTTCCGTTCTGACTGGATGGTGGGGAATGGAAGGATTCCCAGAAAAATCACAGACTACAGGAACCATTTGCACTTCAGTTTGAGATGCAGACAACCCAGAGTTATCCCCAAAAGCCTCTGCCTATCATCAGCAGGGAAGGGACGCAGGGCAGAAAAACATCCTGCAGAAAGTACAACTCAAACTTCTCAATGAAAGAAGCTCCAAGCGGCCTCAACGACTCTCTAATAAGGATGCAAATGACCAGCTGTCTGCAAGGAGTATAAACCCTTCCATCCCCCACCATCCAGCCAGAGCTGAAGAAGCTTCTTGGAGGAGAAGCGAAACCTCTTCAAAGAAGAAACAAAGTCCAGTTGCCTCTTGAAAAAAAATCACCTTTGGGACTGGATCTGAAGTCCCTTTCTAGGCCATCTGGAACTTCAAACCTGATAGAGAAAAAGCATAAAATTACAGATAATCTTCGACTTACAAGAGTTCAGTTAGTGACTATTCAAAGTTACTGTTGTGATCCGTTGGCAGCCTGCGGAGATGACAGCAGAGTCGGACAGTGGGGAGGAACATGGGCCAATCCGGGAATCTGGGGAGGACTTGGACAAAGGTACTGTGTCCAGTACAGAGATGGGGCCAGGGCCATCTGGGAATTCTGTGCTGACTCTGGAGCCACTGGAATCTGACAGGAGCGAGGCAGAGGAACAGGGGGAGCCTGTTCCCGGTGCGCGTATGCACAGAGCTGCCAGAAGGCAAGAGCAGCTAAGACAAAAGGAGCAACTCAGGAGTAAGGCTTGGAGGTGATTCGCTCTCCCATAAGACATAAAGGAGGAGCAAAGGGACAGGAACCTTTGCAGGAAGCAACTTTGTTCATTCTGGTCAGATTAAACCTTGAAGCTCTGTGTGGACTTCGTACTTTGGTTGGCTTTTTACAGTTAATTTAGCACTTTAGTCGTCGGCAGCAATTCAAAGGAGAGAAAGGTCGGCGCTTATCTCGAGAGACTGTTTGGGACTCATTACAGGCTGTGAATGAACATAATTCCCAGCCGTTGAAATAAAAAGAGGGTTGTTTGGACTAAACGTGTGATTAATTACGGTCTCAGAAAGCCTTGGTCAGAACAGTTGCAACAGCACTGAAAAAAAACAACTTTTGATCATTTTTCACAATTGGGACTATTGCAGCATTCCCCATGGTCACATGATCAAAATTCACTCGATTGGCAACTGACTCATATTTATGACAGCTGCAATGTCCCGGGATCATGTAATCCCCTTTTGCAATCTTTTGACAAGCAAAAAGTCCACGGGGAAGCCCGATTCACTTAACAACCAGGTTGCTAACTTAATAACTTCGTAACTTAATAACTGAGTAACAACTGTGGCAAGGCAGCTTGCCAGTCAAAATGGAGCAGAACTCAACTGAACAAATGTCTCGCTTAAACAACAGGAATTTGGGGCTGAATTGTGGTCGTTAAGTCGAGGACCACCTGATCTTGGCAAGTCAGAGACTTTGATTCTTCCCACTGGCTGTACATGAGCTGCCCAGCCGCCTGTTCAGCCGAAGACAGTGAAAATATTTAGTTAAAAGCGGAGACAATGCTAGAGTTTCTTTTCGATTTTCACATACAAACAATCACACCATTCACTATTCAGTTCAAAATGCAAATAGGTTCAGGCAGGAGCCGAGAAACTGAAACAGCATCCATAAAAATCAGTCTTGGGTCCGTCACAAAAAAAAAAAACCTCGTGCACCATCGAAGTAAAATTTGGAAGGGGGAAGAGTTGGTCACTTCCCAGGAGGCCAATGATGCTAAAAAGTCCAAAATGTACCAGTTCCTATTTCACCCAAGGCAAAGAAGCCCAGCTGTTTTGAGAGCTGGCTCTCTCTCCCTCTGGTTCCTTCAGTGAAGTTGTGCCAAGGACCCCACTGGGGTGGCAGGTGGGACCCGGGGCCCACAGATGGTGCCACCTTGAGGAAGGCCCAGTTTACATGCTGGCGACCGACCCTTGAGCCCAAATGTGGGCCTCGTGGAAAGCGAAGGGATCTCTGGGTGCATGATGTAGCTCTCAGCTGCTGCTTCCTTCATGAACCAAGATGAGCTCATGGCTGGCATTGCAAGACTTGGGGTCTTAAAAAGCCAGCCCTGTTTTAGAAAAGACAGAAGATGAGGAGAACAAGACGTGTGGGAGAAATCATCATATTTCTTATCAACGTATGAGAAATCATCTTCATAGCATCATACATTCCTGCAGAGGAATTATTGAGTCTGTCGTTTCCACCTCTAGAACTGTCTGGTTTGGCACAGCAACCAAACAAGACAGGTTAGGACCAGAGGTGGGCTTCAAAAATGTTAGAACTTCAAAAGTTCTCTGCCTGGTTGCTGGGGTGGATGTGGCCATGGTGGGTGTGGCCTAGCCGGCCTCCTGCACCATGGTGGGAAAGGGGGCGTTTTTGCCCTTCCCAGACTCCGGAGGATCTCTGGAGGCCAGAAGTGGGGCCATTTCTGGTCTTCCCGGCCTTCCAGGAGTCCCTGAGCCTCTGCCCTGCACATGGGGATGCCTGGGAGGGGAGGGGAAGCAGAGGTGGGATTCAAAAATTTTAACCGGTTCTGTGTGCGTGGCTTGATTGGTGGGCATAGCTTGGTGGTCATGTGACTGGGCATGGCCAACTCAATATCACTCACATCGAGGCACGCATCTCCTCGCCTGGCCTCTCATGACTGTGGGGATGCTGCAACAGTCCTAAGTGTGAAAAATGGTCATAAGTCACTTTTTTCAGTGCCGTTGTAACTTTGAATGGTCACTCCACACAAGCAAAGTACCAGCAAAGAAGGGGAAAAAAACTCAGAGAAATTCCAGAGACAGGAAGTCCAGTCCTGCCAAGAAGGTAATAAGGGTTAACGGAGAGGCAATTTCTGTAAGCAACACCAGGATGTTTCCTTCCTGCCTTCCTTACAGGATTAGGCCAGTAATTTCTTCTAACAACCGGTTCTCTGAACTGCTTAGAATGTTAACAACTGGTTCTAGCGAATAGGTGCGAACTGGTAGAATCCCGCCCCTGAGGGGAAGGGTGAGAGGGACCAGCCAGGAATGGGATTTGGGGGCTTCTCCGAACTGCACCGAATCTTAGCTAAGGGCTCTCACGAACCCCCAGCAGCCCATTCCTGGTTAGCACTGCAGAAAGAACTATTGCAACCAGCCTGCCTTCCTGGAACAGGGCCACTCACATGGGACAACTAGATGCAGAACAATTTAACAATTCTATCTAATTATTTAAAACAAATTAAAGAATAATAATTTTTGCGATTCACATTTCATTCTGTCCCTCATTTGGCATCCTTTCTTTAATGATTCCAATCCATTATTTCTTTGATATTAGTGAATCTCTTGTCCCGCAGTGAATTGGCTCTGGTGAGTTGGTGGCAAGTTGGCCGTGGCAAATTGTCACAGAACCCTGGCTTCCATTGAGGGCTGAGAAAAAGGTTGCAGACCCCTCACATCCTGGACATAAATTGTTTCAACTTCTCTCAGGATGCCACAATAGGACATTGCATGCCAAAACAACTAGACACAAAGGGGTTGTTGTTTTTTGCCCACGCCATCGTTCCGCTGAACACTTAATTCCTAAAGCGTTGTCTTAGGCCTAAAGATGTAGTAGATGGCAACTATAAAACTATAAAATATCGCTATATAGCTATTATCTTCATCTTTCTCGTTTCTTATCTTTTCATTTCTCATCTTCTAATATTTCGTACTATCTTCTCCTATGATATATCACTTGTTTATATCTTATGATTAATGAGTCTTTATCATCTATGACCTATCATTTTGTTGTTTGTATGTACACCGAGAGCCTATGCAACAGAAATAAATTCCTTGTGTGTCCAATCACACTTGGCCAATAAAGAATTCTATTCTATTCTATTCTATTCTATTCTATTCTATTCTATTCTATTCTATTCTATTCTATTCTATTCTATTCTATTCTATTCCATTCCATTCCATTCCACTCCACTCCTGTATTGCATTGCATTGCATTGCATTGCATTGCATTGCACTGCATTGCATTGCACTGCATGGTATCCTATCCCATCCCATCCTATCCCATTCCATTATTATTCTATTCTGCTATGATTGGGGAAAGGGACAGGGGCTCAATCCCATTTGGAAGGGGGCAACAAAAACTTGTTGGGACTGACAGCTACTCCATATAGCTCAGCCTAAAGAAATAACATGGCTTAGTGGTTACCTACCGATGCCGAGGCCCTCTTGTTGTAGTCTGGGGAATGGGGCCAGGAATACGGTTCAACCGATGCAGCGCTGGTTATGAAGGCTGTTGCATACATGACGGAGGCTGAGACATTTAACACCACAAGCTGGGGAAGAGAGGAGAGAACCATGGGATCCTGAGGTGAAAATCTCTTTAAGATTCTGGACTGGGTCTTGGCCAAGGCTCTCAGCCCAAGTTTTAGCCTTGCTGGCCCCAGTTTCTTTTTTTCTTTTTCATTATTTTATTTGCAATGTTAACAAAATACAAAGTCCAAAAAGAAAGGAAAAAATACAAAAAAGAGCTAAACAACATATAAAATAAAAACATAGTACATACAAGAAAGAAAGAGAAAAAAAACATACACATGAATTGTTCCCCCTAGTTGAATACTGATAAATAAATATATCTCCCACCCTTGTGAAACAGGCTCATAGTTTATGTTTACAACTCTATTTACTCATCCAATTTGCTCTCTCCACTTCCTTTTTGATTAAAAAAAACACCGTGTTTTCTGATAATAAGACCTAACTGGAAAATAAGCCCTATCATGATTTTACGGGACACTCTTAATTAAGCTCTATCCCAAAATAAGCCCTAGTTAAGATCATCAACTAGATGGGTGCATTTATCCATATTTTCCTGAAAATAAGGCCTAACCAGAAAATAAGCCCTACTGCATCTTTTGGAGCAAAAATTAATATAAGACCCAGTTTTATTTTTGGTGGAATACAATAGGTTATACTGACAAATTGGCTTCCTCTTTCATCTCTCACCTATTTAACGTTATATTGCAATAGCAATAGCACTTAGGCTTATATATCACTTTACAATGTTTTACAGCCCTCTTTAAGCAATAAAGAGACTCACCCCACAACAATCTGAATCCTCATTTTACCCACCTCGGAAAGATGGAAGGCTGAGTCTACCTTGTGTCAGCTTTGAAATTCAACTGCCACATATTTATTTTTAGAGAGTTAGAGGAGTTGAAAAGTTCAAGGTTATTCTGTGTGTCATCTTAAGAATTTCCAGTTGCAGTTAATTGGTTCTCATTGATTTATGAAGTGTAGAAGTGGGAAGAGAGAAAGTGGATTCTGTGTAACGCACAACAAAAGCTTTCCCTTGGGAAATTGCTTTTGAACATGCCAGATCTGTTCCTAATAAATCAATTGGACAGATAACGTTTCGGAGGGATTGATATCATGGATACCTTCTGGATGCTTGACACCTTCAGCCTTTGGTCAGGATCGAACTGTTGGCAGTGAGCAGAATTAGCCTGCAATACTGCATTCTAACCACTGAGCCACTATGTCTCATACATCCTTAAACAGTTCGTCATCCTGCTTTTGGAAAAAGACAAAAAAACTTTGCTTGGATCACAAGGACACTCACTAGTGGATGCCCATCCTGGTTAGTTGCTTTAACCTGTAGGAAATCTTCCTTTTCAAAGAGGAGAGGAAAAACAGGTATTATCGGAGATACTAAAAATTAGATTCACTTTCAGATCAGTGAAGGCACTTCTGGGTCACTTCTGCCACACAGGGAGAAGATGTAAATAAAATGGGGGATTTTCAAGAGCCTGGGTTGCAGAGAACTGCTCATCCAGACGAAGAGAAGAATTGAGTCAACAGATGTACTATATAAAGCAAGTCATATTTTAGTGTCGACTGACAGGGCAGCCAAATGCAGAAGGTGAACGATGGGATGAGGTGCAGCTATTCATCTTATTTTCAAGGCATGAGACCTGGAGCCACGGAATATGACACCGACAAGTGAAATGACATGCACAAGAGTGGAAAGGCAACCCTTAGCTACAACTCCCTAAAACGCTTTTTTTTTTTTTTCTGGGATCCCCCAGCTGTTTGGGGCAAATTTCTGCAGCCAGGGAACCTGTAAGAAGATGCAGCTGCTTTAATGAGTTGCAGGCAAGGGCTTCATTGGCGTTCCTGAACATAACATTTCTAGGTTTTTTGTTTTTTTTTGCCAGCCTACTCAGCCCTAATGCTCCACGGTGGTGCTTTCTTTTACAGTATGCTGGTTTCCCATTATCTAAACATGATTGATGCAGTCATTCCTGGGAGCAGAGCCACCATTCAAAGAAACAACGTAGAAAGCAAAACAAGAGCAGGAGGTTTGGACTTTTAAGACCTCCAGGTCCCTTCCAGGTTTGTTATTCTGTATTCTGTAAGCGACCCATTCAGTGGTGATTGGTCACATTTTTTTTTTTAAATAGCTGCCCCACGGTGGTGACGTGGGATGTTTTCTGGCTGAAACAAGCCGTATTTCTCTGACTTGCCAGTCAGCACTGCCCTTTCAGCTTAGAGAAGGGTAACAAAAGCAGCACTATTACTGTCCGGCACCCAGGGCAAGGCCACCAGAAATGGAGAGGCGGTTGTTGGCCACTCTAGGACACATGAGATGGGACTCTTAAGTGCTGGGGGAGAGGACTCTGAATTGGAGCTATAGATGGAGATGGAATGGAAACCCCATTGTCAACCCTGAAGTGAACCTGGCTGAAGCCATCTAGGGGGCTTCAGGGTTGCCTCACAGCAGAAGAAAGAGAAAGGAGGGGGAAAAAATAGCTAGATGCAGTTTTGTAGTCAGAACAAGAAAAGTTTTCCTGTGGGAACCAAGAACATCCCAACAAGTGGCTGGCCAGGGGAGGAGTGAAGTAACCAAGCAACCAGCCAGCACCTTGATTGGACGGCGTGACCAGTGACTTTGGAAAAAGGGGGAACATTTACTTTTTAATTAGGTGAAAGCTACAGGCACTTTCAGAGTTGGCTTTCCCCAGTTGTGCCAATATGATGTATCCAATCGATTGCTCTTTGAGGAATTTTCCTGCCTCCAAGATCTGCTTCCTATGGGTGTGTTACCTGGAACGCTGACCCCAATTTCTGTTATGGTAGCAGTGGTGGGATTCAAAAACTTTTACTACTGGTTCTGTGGATGTGACTTGGTGGGTGCGGTGTTGCTTGGTGGGCATGGCTTTGTGGGCGTGGCAGGGGAAGGTTACTGCAAAATCCCCATTCCCTCCCCACCCCACTAGCCTGCTTTCCAGCTCCCTTCTCCTGTACAGGGCAACCAAAGAAGACCCAGACGATCAGCTGGGACTCGATGGGAGGCAGAGAAGAGATGGGGTTGGTGGGGCCAGTCAGAAGTGGGATTAGCCGGTTCTCCGAACTACTCAACATTCCCACGACCAGTTCTCCAGAACCAGTCAGAACCGGCTGAATCCCACCTCTGTACTGTAGCATGACCAATTTTTTTCCTAGCTAGACCGAATTTGAGCAATTCTCTGTGTTGCAAGCATCTATGGAGCTTCTCAATCATCCAGATCATGGTTGCCCCAAAGGAGCTTTTTCAAAAGGCAATTGGACTTTTTTGGGTTTTTTTCCTCCCTTGAAAATGTTTCACTTCTCATCCAAGAAGCTTCTGAATTGAAAGAAGAACTGAGGAAGCTTAAAGATGAGAAGTGAAATGTTTTCAAGGGGGAAAAAAAAAATAAGCAAGTCCAGTTGCCTTTTGGAAACCACCTTCAGAACAATTGCGTTGGAATTAAAAATAATGAATGCACAGTCTGGTTACACTTATGAGAAAGCCGGTGCAAACCCCAAAAGCTTCCTTAAACAGCCAGTTCTGTAAAATCACAATTAAACCCAAAATAGAACTCAGGCCACAGCATGTACAAAAATAAGATGTGCCTCAGTCCAGGAAGGTTAATTCCCAAGGAAGGGTTTTTCTTACCAACATCTAAAAGCCAAGTTTCTCACAAGCTTTTCTTATTTGTGAACACAATGTGGCTCTTCTTTCATTGTATGGGTGTAGGGTGTGTGCACAAGTGAAATATTAATCACAGAAGGACTGATAATCTCTTTATATGCTGTCTACCTCCCTGTTAAGCAACCAATAAAACTTATCCTTTTGGGTGATAACAGCAAGAAGACTATTTGAATAGTGAGTCATTATTCTGCTTAGTTGGAATACCAAGATAATCTCAAAAGCCACTCAGAAATAAGAAGAAATGTCATAAAGGTGAGAACAATTAACCAGTGGAACAGCTTGTCTTCAGGGGTTATGGGGGCTCCATCACTGTAAGGTTTTAATGACTGGACAGCCATTTGTCTGGATTGGTTTTCCAGACAATCCTTCGCTTGAGTAGGGGGCTGAAGTAGAAGACCTCTGGGGTCTCTTCCAACTCTCCTATGTTCTTTGCTTTTAAAAACTTATAATAAAAATCTGTAGAAATTCTCAGGTCACGGTTGTCCCAAAGGTGCTTTTTCAGGAGGCAACTGGACTCCCTTGTTTTTTCTTTGAAGATGTTTCGCTTCTCATCCAAGAAGCTTCTTCAGCTCTGACTGAATGGTGGGGAAGGGAAGGATTTAAACTCCTTGAAGACAGCTGGTCATTTGCATCCTTTTAGAGGGTTGTTGAGGCCACTTGGAGGTTTTTCTGTGTCCTCAGGGTCACCTGAGTGGTGTAAATGGTGCCTGTAGTCTGCGATTTTTTCCTCTGGAAACCCATTCCCTATTCCCACACCATTCCAAGGGTGTTCATCCCAAATGTTATAGCTAAAAGTCTGTAGAGAGTCTCAGCCCTCCAGGTCATGGCAGTCCCAAAGGTGCTTTTTTTCAGGCGGAACTGGACTTGCAAAAAGGATGCAAATGACCAGCTGTCTGCAAGTAATATAAATCCTTCCATTCCCCACCATCCAGTCAGAGCTGAAGAAGCTTCTTGGAGGAGAAGCGAAATGTCTTCAGAGAAAAAGCAAGAAAATCCAGTTGAAAGCACCTTTGGGGACATTATTCAAAAGCACCTTGCCTTCGGAAGTTGTGGGAGCTTCATCACTGGAGGCTTTCAAGAAGAGACTGGACTGTCATTTGTCAGAAATGGTGTAGGGTCTCCTGCTTGGGCAGGGGGTTGGACTAGATGACCAACTCTGTAAATCTGTTAAATTATGATTTAAAATGCATTTCCTCGGTCTTATGATTTAAAGCAGAAGAAAAGGGACAAAATTGAAGGCATGATTCATTTAGGGAACAATCAAGGCATAAGCCTATTTCATCTAGCTCAGTATTGGCTCTATTTACCCAACCTGTTTGAACAAATTACTCAAGTAGTGACTTGCCACAAATACGAAGGTTTTTTTTTTTTGTGGCTAAGGGTGCTGGGCAAAGTTCATTCAGGGATGTCACGGCTCACCATAAGTTGTGAGTGCAGAAAATGAAATCCGTGCAGGAACTGAGTTCCACGCCTGGTGCATATTGGCCTTTGACCAGCAGCATCTCACAGGGTGAGTCACCCTAGCTGGAGAAATCAAGGGATCGGTCTGGACCTCTCCAGATGCCAGATGCCATTCTTCAAAGCTGAAGGAGCATTTCAGCTCTCAGAAGAGCTTCAAGAGAATAAGATCTTTTGAGAAGGGATGAGACACGTGCATTTATTGTAGAGGCTCTCGCAAGATGCCCTGGGATAACACGTCATTGAAGATAGAAGCAACGAGGTGGACTTATTCCTTGCTATTCTCTTGAATTTTCTTTTATCCTGTGGGTAGTCTTTGAGATACAAGCACCAACGGGACCAAGATCTCGGTCATTAAGCCCAACGGTCACTTTGTGAGATGCTCACATGGATGCTTTGCTCAACAACTGCAATCCCAGCACTCACGATTGTGATCCTTAAAAGATCTCTCGGGTTGTTAAGTGGACAGAGAGAAAGAGCTGCCAGCAGAGTCCAGCTCCCCTCTGCGCAAGGGAAAGAACCGCCCCGGCAGGCTGCAGGAACAGACCTTGGATTTCGGGTTTTGAGTTCTGTTTCTGCAAGCCGCCAGGGAAGTTCAGCTCCCCTCAGTGGGAGCTCTTCTAGCCAGCTCCCAGAGATGAGGGAGTCTCCTAAGTAGACAACAGTATCAACTTTCAACCGTTCCTGCTGGCTTCCCCAATGACTTTCTGGGGAAGCCAGCAGAGAAGTTTGCAAATGTCCACATAATCATGGGGTACTTTACACCAACCAATTATTGGTGTAAACAGATTGCTAAGCACCCACATCATGTTCATATGACTGCAGGAGAGGGGGGGGCAACATTTTATTACAGCCAGACATGCTGAAAAGCCCCCTTTCTGAGGCCATTGTAACTTTGAATGGTTGTTAGACCACCGGTCATGAGTCAAGGACTAACTGTACATGACAGACTCTCTGATAGGGATGTGAAATATTCCTCTTCTTTACCTCCCACCTTATTTTTTTTCCTTTGGGGGGGTGATTAGGCCAAAAAAACTACAGCTTTAAGGTCTACTGCTAACTACAGTTACATGTTAGGCTTCAGGTGAGGTCAGAGATTCCCAGGCAAAAGATCGCTTTTATGTAAACTTAAAATAACTACCTGGCTCGGGAACCTGAAAACAGACGTGAGTCTTCGGAACCAGCATTTCAACCTTTCATGGTAACCTATCAGAAGCAGCTAAGAATCAATACACACACCAAAAAGAGCCGTGGTGGCGCAGTGGTTAGAATGCAGCACTGCAGGGCTAACTCACTGCCCACTGCCAGCAGTTCGATTCTGACTGGCTCAAGGTTGACTCAGCCTTCCGTCCTTCTGAGGTGGGTAAAATGGGGACCCAGATCATTGCGGGAAATACGCTGACTCTGTAAACTGCTTAGAGAGAGCTGTGAAGCACTGTGAAGCAGTATATAAGTCTAAGGGCTATTGCTATCTATCTGTCTGTCTGTCTCTCTCTTCTCTATCTATCTATCATCTATCTGTTTATCTATATCTATCTATCTATACATCCACCTACCCATCCATCCATCCATCTCTATATCTATCTAAGAGCCATGGTGGCGTAAGTGGTTAAGAATGCAGTATTGCAGGTAAACTCTGCCCACTGCCAGGAGTTCAATCCTGACCAGCTGAAGGTTGACTCAGCCTTCCATCCTTCCAAGGTGGTTAAAATGAGGAGCCAGATTGTTGGGGGCAAGAGGCTGACTCTGTAAACCGCTTAGAGAGGGCTGGAAAGCACTGTGAAGCAGTATATAAATTTAAGTGCTAAGGAAAGTAGGGAAGAAGGGAGGGAGGGAGAGCCATGGTGGAGCAGTGGTTAGAATGCAATATTGCAGGCTGACTCTGCCCACTGCCAGAAGTTCAATCCTTGACTCAGCCTTCCATCCTTCCAAGATGGGTAAAAGGAGGACCCAGATCATTGGGGGCAAGAGGCTGATTCTGCAAACTGCTTAGAGAGGAAAAGCACCGTAAAGCGGTATATAGGTCTAAGGGCTATTGCTATCAAGTTTGTCTTCCTTTCCTATTCAGGCTCTTGTGCACCCAATACCTAGAGTGAACTGTTCCATGCCCGGAGGGAGCAGCTAGAAGCCACCAATAGACTTGTCCCCTAGATTTGAAGGCCACCGAGTATCCAATAATTTGTAAGAAACTTGGAGTTTAAATTCCCAAGGATGGAAAAATAATGTACATCTTCTTACAGCCAGTAGACAATCAACTCTTGGTGTAGTTTTATTCTCTGCAATAAAGATCTTAAGCTAACAAAGCCACTTTGGAGAAGTTTTAGCCAAGTCAAGATGAGGAGTCAAGGTAACCCGGGAAAGGTCAGGAGATCTGACACCACACAAGGACCTCAAAGCTAACCCAACTCCCATCGTTACACCCCCAAATGTGAAAGGTATTCCAGTTCAGCCCAGGTCCCCTGGGAGGAAGCCTAAATTATATATTTTCCCCAGCCTTCCACACTCACCACAATAGGCCAAGGGATCATGTAGAATTTCAACTGAAGCTGAAACAGGTACATCACAAAAAGAATGACCGTCACCATCCAGAAGAAGATAGCTACAAACATCACCCAGCCGTAGGACGGGTAGGGTTGGTAGTACGTGTCCGCAATCAGGGCCCACACCAAGCAGCCCAGCACCTGTGCAAAACACAAGAAGAAGAAGGTCACACTCGCCCTGGGATCTGATCACTATCTTCTTTAGGCTATATGCATTAGTGTCATATATGTGAGTATATACATCATCTTGTATTTATTCAGTTATTTAGTTATTTTGTCATGTTCATGCAATGTAAAATTGGAGGTGGTGACTCTTTAATAACAATAGCAATAGCACTTAGACTTATATACCACTTTATAGTGCTTTACAGTCCTCTCTAAGCGGTTTACAGAGTCAGCCTCTTGCCCCCAACAATTTGGGTTCTCATAAGTCCTCTAAGAGCTGTATGCAACGAAATTTCATTTTTAATGTATGCCAATTAGTGTACGTTCAAAATGACAATAAAATTTATTCTATTCTATTCTGCATCCCAATATTCTATTCTATCCTTCATACCAATATTCTAGTCTAGTCTACTCTACTCTAGTCTAGTCTATCCTATTCCTTTCTTATTCTACTCTACTCTCTTCCTATTCTATTCTATTCTATTCTATTCCTATTCTATTCTTCATCCCAATAATCTATTCTGTTCTATTCTATCTTATTATATTCTTCATCCCAACTATTCTATTCCATTCCATTC